TCCCTCCCTGCACAAACAAGCTTTCCCGACTGATTTTTTCTTCACTGGAAGGTCCTCACTATGGAGAGAGGGTTGCCCTTGATAGCTTGCTAGCCTCAGTCCTGCTGAGGCCTCCACTCAGCAGATCAGAGCTGCAGAATGTTCTGAGATTAGAACTAGTGCTGTAGCAGAGTATGAAGACATGCTGAGAACAAATGCTAATAATTGGGAGAGAGGACTCTGGTCTTGATCCTCACAGCAGTTTTCTATATCATTTTGTTCTTCAGTGTGCAGTGAATTAAGGGACCACAGAGATAGTAAATGAATACTGTACTGTGTTATCATTATTTTTCATAGATAATACTGAAGATAAAAATGAAGAGGAGGATCACTGCCATAATTTCCATAGTATTTCTTAATTCTTTGCTCGCAGAGGCAATGCTTATCAAATAAGACCAGGACTCTCAGTTTCTTGGAAAGCAGTATTAAAAGTAAAAAGCAAGTGCCCATGCAGCAAATGTGTTTCTGTATTTCAAAAAAGTTTCCAATAACTGGGAATCCAGACACAGTGCTAATAAAGAGGTAAAGGCTGCTTTGCTGTAGTTACAGGGTAGAGTGTTGTTTTGCAGTGTGACAAATTCAACGAGTTGCATTCCTTCTTGCAATGGAAGGAAATATTCATCAGCCTCCAGAACTTTGAATGTTTAGGGCTCTGCTGCCTGGTATTCAATGTGCAGTTCTCCTTACTGACTGCTGCTTCTAATAGTTTCCTATTAAGCATTACAGATCTTCCCAGGAGGAAATCATATATTTGGAAGTTTGTTCCAGGAAAAAGTTAATTCCAGACATTTCTCATATTTTGTTTTCTTTCTCTTGAGCAGGTGAAAATACAGCCTGTTGCTAGATATGACTGGGAGCAGAAATACTATTATGGCAATCTGATAGCTGTTTCAAACTCTTACCTGGCTTATGCCATTAGAGGTGAGATACCTTCTTATCTTGGATGTGATTTGTATTCTTTTGTTCTGTGTATCTCTAAAAGAGGCAAAGTTTGCATCAGAAGAAGATAACTGGCAATAACTGAAATGCTTCTTGGAATACCAAGATCAGGGTGCTGTTGTAGTGGGAGTACAAGTGAAGCTGGAGCTACAGGGGAGGGAAGAGTTGGTGGTGCAGGAGAGTTTCCACGGAGAAGGAAAGCTTTTCTGAAGTTAGAAATAAAAGAAAGAGGAGGTCTCACTGGGGATGGAGGAAAAGTTGAAGTATTACATTGGTTTTACTGGACACTAAGCTGATGTTCAGATTACTCTCTAATTAAATATTTCTGCAGTAAACAAGCTTCTCTGTGGCTAAGCACAGAAACAGCCCCATGGTAATTTGAGCAGATAAATGTTTGTGATGGATTTGCTTGCATAAATTTAGAGTTGAGTTTAAGGCTAAATTTAGAGGAGGCAAAGAGCAATGTAGATGCACTGTATTTTGCAATAAGAAGGGAGAAAAAAGCAGAACAATGCAGGGAAAGACTGTTTCACAACAAACATGAAACAAATGAACACTTAGTCATCTGCAGTGTCTCTTTCTGCTCATATAAGCACACAGTGTTTGGGGCTCCATCAGCTCTTCCCTTTCTTCTTAGTTCTAACACCCATCAGTTTGTCTGGCCTTTTATGAACTACTACTCCTGTGTTTTTTCCTAGCTGAGGTTATTTTAGAGCAGCTTTAGGGCGTCTCACCCTTTTCTAAAGTATTAAAGCTTGGGTGCAGTAACACTATGGAAAGCTGAGTGGTCTGCTAGGGCTGGCTTGGGCATCAAGAAGTGGAAAGAATAGGGTCACCATAAGACTGCCTGCATTATAGTGATGTTTGTCTGAAATGGGGAAGTTGGAAACTTTGCTTGGTATGTGCATGCTCAAAAGCATGGTCTTTTCAGTCATGCAAGCCAAAAAGCAGTACTTTTTGCCAGGTAAGTGTTTATGCTTTTTACATTCCCCTTACAGAACATATATTTGAGCTGCCTCCTCTTAGTGACTCCTTTTCTCCACTTACTGAAAATGAAATTGCAATTAAAATTAATTCACTGTCACTGGAGGTCAGCCTTGGAGGTTTGGTAGCTTTGTCATGAGCCCAGGATAAAGATTTAGGCCTTACATTTAATGAAGGCATTTTTGACGAGAATAATCCTGGGAATCACAAGAAGTCAACTTCTGTTGACTTTTTAAGTAGAGCAACTTAGAAATTGAGGTGCTCAAGAAATTGTAGAAGATATGGGGAATCAAGCTGCCCCTTACAAGGCAGGCAAACTCCTTGATGCTGCTGTTCCAGTCTTCTGCACCCAAGCTGAAAAGTGCAGTGAATATTTGTGCATGTATCCTGGGTCTTGAAAGGGTTTGTTAACATGGTACCTATTGATACGGGTTTTCAGTGTGTTGCCAGTGACAGCTGATGGCAGGATGGGTGCTGGAAATGACAAGCCGATGGCTGGAAACAGCACAGATAAATGATGACTTCTCCCTCTCTCTTTTCTGCAGCTGCCACTAATGGCTCCGCTATGGTGCGGGTGTTGAGCGTCAGCGCTGCTGAGCGGACCTTGCTGAAAGGATTCACAGGTGGTGTGGCAGACCTGGCTTTTGCTCATCTCAACTCCAACCAGCTGGCATGCCTGGATGAGGCCGGCAACCTTTTTGTCTGGCGCCTGGCCATGGATAAAGAAAAAATCCAGTATCTTGTCAAAATACACCTTGTAACAGTCTGTGTAATGGTTAGATGTGAATGCAGCCTGAAAATTGCAACTCATTTTGTAGCCTTTTCAGAATAGCAGCTTGTAGGAGGAAGGTCAATAGTTTTGCCTCTTCCAGAGTATCAAATCAGTCAACCTGTGCCTCTATTCAGCCCAATCATTATGTGAAATTGCATGTAACTTGAAATTCTAGGAGTGACACCTCAGTGCTCCTTCTGGTCCAGGCAAAAGTAGTCACTGAGAAGTGTCAGTCTGTACTAGCTGGCCTTACACATGGACACTGTCACCTCGACCGTGTGACAGAGCTTTTTACTCACACTTGTCTGGTTCTAGCTCTTTTCCTCAGTTACTTATCTGGGCAAGAGGATGTAATTCTTCCCTCCTGCTCGCTGTCTTCCTTCTAAACCTGTCATCCCTCTTCTTTTGGTGGTCCTGAAATGTTATTTTTAGTGTTTGATTCATTGCCCTAAATCTTTTCCTTTTAATTGCTAGGAGTCACTGCTCAGTGCTTTTGGGAATTACGTCAGTCTGTGGGGTATGTCGTCTTAGGTTGTGCCTTCTTAATTTTAATTGTATACTATCATTTCAAAAGCAACTGGAGCAAAGGTGGTTGTAGTTGTTTAAGATCTGATTTGTATGGGTGGACGAGAGCACTCAGTCTGGGGCAACGTGGTAGCTTTTCTGTCTTTCTGTGGTAGTGTTGCTATGCTAGCTGAAATCATTTAATCTGTCCATTAGCAGTCGCGTGGATTGCACGTTCAGGGGTGGGTGCGTGTGCTCCTGTTATGCTTATCCTGTCCCTGTCTGCAGCCTGCAAGAGAAAATTATGAGACTACTAACTTTTGTAAGCTTAACCTCTTCTGCCAGTGAAGAAGTGCTAGCTTGCTACCTTTCTTAGCGGAATCCTTTTATCTGATTTCTTTTTGTGTTTCAATGATCCAAAAAATCTTGAGGTTTAGTAGTATTTACTGGATGGACCACACCTGAATAGGTTATTGCTGAGTGTCAGTAGCACTGCCAGAATGTTATGTTTCTTAACCGTGGTGATCAGAGAGGAGATCTTGGTTAACATCAAGCGACCTGACAATACCCCATTGAACACCTCTCGAAGAATCATCTGGTGCCCTTTCATCCCAGATGATAATGAGGAGAGTGGTGAAGAGGGAAGTCAGACATTGGCGTTGTTGCATGAGGACAGGGTAAGGAAACCTTGCTTTTGAAACGTTGTCCCTTATAAAAGGGAGAGAATCTAATGAAGGAAAGAACCGATATGATCAGAGATGTAAAGGCTTCTGTCTAGTCTGTGCTGGGGATCCTCCCATAATATGATATGTGGGATTCCTCTCTTCCGAGGAGAGGTCATACTGATCTTTCTTCAGGGTTCAGGAGGAAGGAAAGTGGTACCAAATACCTTCTGCTTACCATCAAATAGTGGGACCGCTAGAAACAATGTGGAGGGTCAGAGGGTTCACTCATCTGCTCAGGCTGAGCCAGTTCCCAGGGGTGGGGGATTGGTGAGCCACAACTACAACTGCCAAGAGCAGTTCCCTGTACTTATGTATAGCTGGGTGTCAGGCAAGCATCTAATGGCCAGATTGGATGGAAGTGGGAAGGTTTTTGCCATTGGGCTGGTATGTCAGGATATAAGACAAGGATATAAGAAATTCTCTACTGGATCAGATCAGTAGTTGTAGAAATAAACCTGTGTGCCCATGTTTGTTTTCCAGGCAGAGGTGTGGGATTTGGACATTATCCGAACGAACAACAGCTCCTGGCCAGTGGAAGTGCCTAGCATCAAAGAAGGCTTCATTGTAGTGAAAGGCCACAGCACGGTATATACCTGTTTTGCTTTCTTTACTGCCATCACATAGGTGATCGCTACAGATCACTTAGGTTTTCTTTAGGTTATAGTGTCTCAGGAGCTGCAGTTCTTAGGACAGTTGGCTGTAAAAAAAAAAAAAAAGTTTCTTACCCATCCACACTAACACCCACAACCTGCTGGCTATGTACTCACACTACTGGTAAATAACCTTTGTTTAAAGAACCAAGGTGCATGTGTAGTCATTTGCTTTGAAAATGGCTCTTGAAAAAATTAATCTGTATTTCCAAGGGCCTATTTGACAACCTGGGCTGTATTTCGACTATGTTGTTATATCTCCTGGTAAATGGAACACTTAACACTGCAGTGGTTTACTGCTGGATGAGAAGGGGAAAATTAAGCCCGATGTCCTCTTTATTCTTCTATGATTTCCCTAGTGAGTATAGTTATATCTGTGAGTACAGTGGACCAGGACCGCAGCTGAGTATCCAGTGGGTGATATTTCAAATATAAAATAAACAACTGAGTCCAATTTCACTTCCTGAACAGAGTGATGACAAACTAATTGTATCGCTTAGATGAAACAATTATGATCATGAGATAATAATTACTGCGAAAAGCCAGAAGATCCCAAACCAAAATGAGCTCTGTTCATAACATGAGTAACAGTGGGAACAGTGGCAGCACAATCCATTGTACTTAAATTCGCTGTCTGGAAAAGGTGATTGTTAATTATTGCAAAAAAAGCCCTGTCAGTTCTTCTGTGAATGGTTAAGTTGCCTGGTGACATGTCTGTTGGAAATCCCTCTGACCTCATATACTATCAGACTGTTAGTCAAATTCCTGTGTGAAGAGAGTACTCTTTCTCCAGGAAGAGCTATAAAATCACTTTTCTGTGTCTTTTTTTTCCCCTCTCTGTGTAGTGCCTGAGTGAGGGAGCACTTTCTCCAGATGGAACTGTGTTGGCCACAGCAAGTCATGATGGTTTTGTCAAATTCTGGCAGATCTATATTGAGGGGCAAGACGAGCCAAGGTAACTGGAGAATTGGAAAATGGAGGATCTTGGAACAGAGAGCAGTATTTTCTCTGTGAGAATTTCCTTGTTAGAGAATCACCTGCAATGGTCGTTCTCAGGACATTATAAAGACATAGGGTGAATGTTTGTAAAGTAATTTGTTGCAAAAGAGTTGTATCACTGAATATCCTGTATGCTCAAAGTTTGATGAACTTGGGGGAAGAAAGCAAAGAGCTGTGTCTGGAAGCAGGAGCTCTGTGCTTTGCGTAGGCTGTAGTCAGACTCTTTTGCGCTGTTCCTGTAAATGAAGAAAGCTGCTCTGAGCTGTTCTTCTCAATGTTGACTTCTTTTCTGTATTGTTAAGACACCAAACCAAATACCAACACATGATTTCTTTTTTTTTTTTTTGGTCACAATCTATGGCTGCATGGGCTGTGATCTCCTTATTTGATATAAGCCTGTAAACAGCTATGAGCTGATAACACTTGGTGGCTGCTGACTTAATGCTGTCTTTGGACAAGGGGTAATGCATTCAGCACCCACCTTGTATATTGCTTATTTACTACTCCCTGCATGCTCAGTCTTTTCTGATTCTTTCTTAGGTGTCTTCATGAGTGGAAACCCCATGATGGTAGGCCTCTTTCCTGCCTGCTTTTCTGTGACAACCATAAAAAACAAGACCCAGAGTAAGTTCCTAATCCTGTACTCGGATTATCAAAGTTTAGTGGTGTCTTCTAACTCTAGCTTTGGAGGGTTCCTTGTAACTGCATTGTACTTGTAAAAAATTAGGGTTGTGAGAGGAGCAAGTCCTGTCCTCTTTGTAGTCAGTTTTCTAGTGATGGAGAAATAAATAAGGCTCTGGAGCACAGTATAAACTGACCTTAATTCTAGTGTCAATTCCATGAAAGCAATGAAAATTCTAAATTGATGAGTGCTTTCAGGTTTGTGGTATGGTCAGTTCTAACTGGCTTGTAATCCTCCAAATTTCTACTGCAGTTGATTAAAAAGTAACTTTTGTTTTGTTTTTTTTTTTTCATTTGTATTCTTTCTTTAGTCAGTTGTGGCCTTAAGGTTCTTGAGATCTACGAGAGCTATAGTGGTTTCTAATCTGCCTCAGAAGTAGAGATTTTCTGGGAACTTTAACACACGGTTGGGCAAAATCAGCTATGGACAGCTTGTGAGGAACTTTTCTGTGAAACACCCTTATAGGAAGGACCAGATCTTCTTTAAGAGATCTTAATTCTGTTGTGCCTGCAGGGTTCCGTTCTGGAGATTTCTCATCACAGGAGCAGATCAGAATAGAGAACTGAAGATGTGGTGCACTGTGTCGTGGACCTGTCTGCAGACTGTCCGGTAGGTGTTGATATGCCAGCTCCCCTGAAGGGCTGGATTTACTTTGAGCAGTGGATCATAACAAAGCTCTCAATGTCCAGGTATACTTACTTTGCAAAGGAGATCCTTGATCTGCAATAGAGTCTACTCTAGCCCCAGTTAGAGCCTCCTCCTTTGCCACTCTGATCTATCTGTTGAAAGCTATCAGGGCTGTGACAGACTGTCAGGTCAAGCTTTGGCAAGAGAGAGGAGGTTGATCCTTTTATACAGTCTCCTTGGTGTTACCAAGACCTGTTTGTCTTCACTTTGGTCTGTAGAGCACAGACGTACCTGTAGGATGAGGAGAGACATTCCAAATTGCACTCCTTGAGAGCTTTCTTCTGTAAAAATACTAGATAGTAAAAACCAATCTAGGATGTCTTCCTTTTATTGCTTTTTCTGATTTTAAATAACAAGACACTGCTATGTTGACAGAGCTTAAGCAGTTATACAGGGCTTATTTGCAGAGCCATATAGGTCCAGAAGTTCAAATTCCACTTCAGTCCATCCCTTCACTCAACTTATGTTCTTTGGTATTACTTCTGGTGGATTGTGGCCTGTCAGATCACATGCATGTGTAAAGCCACTTGTGAATTGCCCCCTTAAAATGAGAAGAATATGGCATCCAGCTGAGTGCTGCTTTTTCCACCTCTTACTACAGAAAGTCTGTAACCTATAGAAGGGTTATTTTGGTTTGGTGGATTTTTGTTTTTAAATCTGTAGCATTGGTTCTTGTGGAACATGTTAAGTAATGACAAACTGTCATCTTTCATTTAAATGTTCAGAATCTATATCTAGATCCTATTCTGTGATCTCCATGCTGGTCTCTTAGCTGAAGTCAGCACTGATTTCTGCAATGATGTTTTTGTTCTAGTGGGTGGTTGCACTGTAATATGGCTGTAAAATCCTTAAGATTTTTTTTTTTAACTAATGCAGTTTCAAAGCAGTCATTCTGGTTGTGCTAATCTGCCTTGCTTTCTGCACCCCTCCCGCCCCCTTGTTCGTGGATCTAGCTTTTCTCCTGATATCTTCAGCTCCACGAATATTCTTCCCAGCCTGAAAGTTTGCCTGGACCTCTCCGCTGAATATCTGATATTGAGCGATGTGCAGAGGAAAGTAGGTGGTTCATTTTATTGCTGGCTGTGTGGGTAATGGTGACAGAAGGAGAAATGACCATCTGTGTGACTGATTCTGCTGCCTAGGTCTAGGATTTGCACATTAATAGCTAAAAATGTAGAGGCTGGCCTCAGCTATTTCACCATAAGATGACGAATGGTAACAATTCAGCTGATTTAATCTTGAGGAGCCTTAAGGATTATTTCTCACTCTAAAGTAAAGCTCTCATGTGGAGACTCCTGTGTCTGGAACAGTATGATTAAGTTCCTGATCAACATTGACTCAGACAGGACTGTGAGGTTGCCTTGGGTGTTCCCTTTCAAATTTAAATGGTCCAGGCTTTATTCCTCATGTTATTTCCATTGTTCCAAAATCTCGTTCAGGTGCTAGGGCTTTGTAGTCCGCATACATGTGCGTATGGTCTGCTCTGAAAGCCCAGTGACTTACTGTTTCTGATTCTTCCAGGTCTTGTATGTGATGGAGCTGATGCAGAACCAAGAGGAGGGCAAAGCTTACTTCAGCTCCATCTCCGAGTTCCTCCTTACCCACCCAGTCCTAAGCTTTGGCATCCAGGCAGTGAGCCGCTGCCGGTTAAGGCACACTGAAGTGCTCCCAGCAGAAGAGGAAAATGACAACTTGAGTGTAGGTAGGTGATGAAGAGAATTTGGCTGCTGTGAGATCAAGACTCCTTTCCTGACTGGTTCTGGCATTCTCATGCAAGGCTGGCTCTCTTCTTCTCTTAGTCTGTATGAAATACATCCTGTGTAGCTAGAGTACTTCAGGGAAACACAGTAGAGTTGGCTACAAGGGACCTCTGGAGGTGTCTGGTCTAGCTTGCTGCTTGAAGCAGGACTACTGCTGGTGGCAGATCAGGTCACATATGGCTTCATCTAGTTGCATGTTGAAGGCCCCCAAACATGACACTTCTGTCTCTGCTCTGGTGCCCTGTCCCAGGGCTGCACTCCTTCCTAAAGAAAATATTTCTTAATATTGAACCTGAACCTCCCAACCCAGGTTGTAGCCATTGCCACTTACCACACAGAAACTCCGCTGAGGTGTTTGTTGTTAAAAAAGCATTCCAGGGCTGTGTGGGCTTAAGTGACTGCAAGTGACCTTTTGGTTAAGGTAAGGAAAAAGATTAGCTGCTTGGTATCTGAGCCATGACACTTTTGCCATCACATAGCATTGTTGCCCTCAGCAGAACACAGGGGACAACTTTCTCTGGCAGCATAGGGCTGAGTTTCCCTCCAGCACAGTTTGATGCAGGCTCACAGGAGCAAAAGGGTTCCTGGAAGAACTGGCAGGCTATATTTCTGTGACTGCTTGTCTGAGTAAACTGTGTAATTAAACATCAGAGGTGTGAGCACGGGGTCTGAGAAACCAATTGGTTGCTTCTGAATTGTGCTGCCTGAGCTGTGATAGATGTGAGGACAGTACGCAGTTTGAGTTGAGGGAAAGGGTGGGATTCTTCTCCATCACTTCTGGAAGGCATGTTCCTAAGCCACAAAGCTTCTTGCAATAGAAATGAGCAAGTAACTCTCTTTTTAGAGGAAAAACACATGAGATGTCTTCTTCTGGCTGTTACTACAGTGAATATGATAGTGAATGCTGTGGAGAACTGTCCTATGTAGACATTCCTTGATCACTGGCTCTCTTCAACTGTTGGTTTGCTCCTGCTCTCCTGCCTTTCTGTTAGTAAAATTTGGAAAGATGCTTTGAACAACGTCAACATATTTCCTGTTAGAAAGATACAGCTGTATTGATAGTCCAGGAATGATGTGCTTCCCTATGCCACTTCTTGTACATAATTATAGTTAATTCATATTGTTGTCAATATTAGTGGCATTGCTCTGAAATGCAGAAGGAAAAATGACAGACACATGTAGCAAGTCAGGAGCAGACTGGGTCTGAAGCTTCAGGTCCCTGATTGGTGCACAGATAATTAGGACAATTTGCATAGGAATGCCTAATATATTTTTTAATGGGCTGTTAGGTTTATCTTTTCTACTCAGCCTCCTTAGGTTTGTTAGCAATGAGACTGATACAGGTGTTGAGTGAATGTTGTCAGTGCTGGCTCATGGGAAGTTATTGCAGAGCTCTTCATAATTGCAGTTGGTTACAGCCAGGAAGGATGGTTGAGCCCTAGTCCGAACTTCTGTATGATGTAAGCTAGTGTGTCTCTCTTAAAATACATCTAACCAGTCTCTTCAACAGCCAGAACAAATCACTGACAGTTCCAGACCTCAGCTTCCTCCTCTTTACCTAGTGAAGTATCTCCCCCCCCCGCCACCGCCCCCTTCCTCCGGGCTTATTTGACTGAACTAGGGAAAATTTGATTGCTCTCACATTGAGAAGTAAAGGGAGTGTAGGATACACTTTCCCTTAACAGGGTGAATCTACCTCTTAAATGTAGAAGTGATGAAGCTGTATCGTGCTGGTTCTCTGCTGCTGGTTCATCTGATATGATGGTTTTCTACTAGTTTGTCTGCAGTTTCCATCCAGCTTCATATTCTTCTTTTGTCTCATTTACAGAAGGTGCTCAGGGAGCCGGGGCTGTTGAATCAGCAGCAGGCGTGCTAATAAAACTCTTCTGTGTGCACACCAAGTGAGTATGTGTAGCAGCTGCCATGGGCAGCTGTCTACAGTTGTCCTAATCCTGCGCTGACCTATAGAAATTTAACTTACCAATTCCTTTTGCTCATAACAAAAACTACTTGGATCCGTAGAAACTTCTAGCTGTGGTGTGTTCAGTATGGCCTTACCAGGAAGTAGCCCTGCATGGTGCTGTGGCAAGCTAGTATTTTTGTCTCCATGAGTACACAGTGACTTATGAGTTGTGCTCATGTGTAAGTGCTGGGAAACATCTCTTGAATACCCTGGATGCCAGAACTGGGTGGCACAGCTGAATGAGGATCAGCTTCTGCTTCTTCTGTCATGGGCGGAAAACACTAAAGCATATTCCAAGGGAATCAGTTACATGAAGAGGAATCCTCTAAGCATTAGACTTCTCTTTGTGATTCATAAACTAACCAGAGATACCTGTTTTTGTTTGGTTTTTTTTTCCCAGGGCCCTACAGGATGTGCAGATTAGATTCCAGCCTCTTCATAGTCCTGACATGAGTGCATCCATGCCTTCCCATGGCTCTCATGAAGAATTTGGTGAGCATTTGTGTTAAATCATCTTCAGTGTTGCTGAGCCTTTAAAGGTTGTTGGAAGAGGGGCAGCAGGAGAGCAGCTTTGGTGCCTCTTTGTAATAGAATAGAGTGGTGTCATTGCATAAAGGGTTCTGAATATGGACCAGCTGTGAAGCAGGCCACTTGATTAGAGCCTGATGCGAGCATGGAGCATGGGGACATGTTAGGCTAGGAGTGCTAATGCTTTGTGCGCACTTGAGTTCACCTTCCTTGGTGATTTGGTACTTGTGCCAGAAACTTGATGTTTGTCTCTTGTCAGGTGGAAGAGATTACAGTGACAGCAGAGCTTTGGGAGTAGAGGGGACTGGACTGTGTGTAGCGTGCTCTTTCAGTTCATTCACCATTCTGGGATGTGGCTGTGAAATTGGCCCTGCATTTAGGGAAGAAAGGAAGCTTGGATCTCTTATTATCAAAGCCTGATAACATCCACTGTTTAGCCTACAAAGAGTAAGCGTGACAAAGGGTTTGCCTTGCCCTTAGCTTTGATTAGGTTGTTGCAGGGTTTTCACTTGTTCTTTTGGAATCCAGTATGGCAGACAATGGCATAAATTCATACTTTGTGGAATTAAAGCTTTAGCTTTTGGGGGAAGGTCCTGTAAATTGATTTGTATTTCTCCTTTGGAAGCCTTTCCAGACCACATGGCTGATCTAAGCACAGAAGGGCTGGGATCTGAAAAAGGATCAGTGCATGGCTCTCAACCAGACCTGCGGCGTATTGCTGATCTGCCTGTACCAGCAGACTTTCTGTCTCTCTCAAATGATGCCAAACCTAAGCTGATGACTCCAGATGCATTCATGACACCAAGTACATCTCTTCAGCAGGTAACCAGAGAGCAGCACTGTTATTGGTGGCACAAGGGGTGGGTTTGTATTTTGATACCTTTGGGAACTTTTCCTAGGCAGTAATGACTCCAATAGGCTCTGTTAGCTGAATGCAGATCCCACGGAAACTCTGTGCAAGTGACCAAACTGAGTAAAGACATGTTGGTACATCTAAAATGCTAAGCTGGCCTAAGCTTGTGTTGCGAGTGCTGTGTTCAGCTGCAAAACTGCTGATGTAGCTGTGTTGTGTAGAAATACGGGTTTGCTAAATAACTGGGAGACTGGTTTACACATGTTGTTTGGGGTTGTGATATAACTATAATGGAAGAAAATAAGCCATCTCTGCGTATGCTGTCTGATGGGATCCTGTGGGAATAAATGTCTGAAAAGATCAGGTAGGTAGATGGGACTGTAACATCTTCTGCACGAGATCTGCAAATTATCGATCCAGTAGCTTGGTGGGTTTTTTTGAATCTAACACAACAAGCCTGAACTTGTACAGAAGGCAAGTCTTCTGTACTTTCGCCAGGGATTTTGGTATCAGGAAGCACGTGAAGTGTTCCTCAGGATTTGGTGATCTCTGCAAAGGATAACAGTGTTTTGGTGAAGAGCCATAAACATTCATTTACTCCTCAGTGGGGCTCTGATGGAGCAATCAGGAAACACAGAATTCTTATTAATGCTCTGTCACATGTGCATGGCGAGCAGTGCTGCATCATGCACTGTTGGGTCCTGCTGGGCATTTCTAGAGGCTGTCTGACACTGACAGTGTGCATCTGTCTAACTCAGTGCAGGTTTCTGCTGCCCCTTCTTGGTTATGCCAACAAGCAGAAGTGTAGGAGCTCACTATTTCTTGGCCACTCTGTATCCAAGTGTCATGTTAGTTTCTCTTAAACCCACTCAGATATTCTTGCTTTATAGCCTGCTTCTGTGCCTCTGTACTGAATTTGTGACTGTGTAGTTTTCTCCATATGCTTTTAGAATGGGATAGACATAAATTAAAAAGTATTTTTAAAAGTGCATCCTTTAAGAAAAGTGATCTGCAACTTAATTACAAGGTGTGGATTCCACTGGTGAGAAGCTGTGCTGTTTGTGTTTTCTCTGCCTTCCTGTGAGAAATTAACTGTCAGCAGTTATTTGCCATGCTGATAGAGTTCTTACAGGCAAGAGGAGAGTGCTCGTGAGCAGCACTCCACGTACACATCCTAAGGCAGGGCTTCCCCCTCCAACGGAGGAGCGCATGGTTGTCACCACAGCTTGAACGTGTACTGGAGGAGCCTGGATGAGGCACATGGAGATGTGCAGAAATGGAGTTCATGCTGAGTTGAGTAATGAGAGAGCGCCACCCCGGTGACAACTTGGGGAGCAAAGAATAAATTAAACTCCTCCTAAAGGTTTTGATGTTGCTGGCAAAGTTGCTGAGTGCAGGAGGTAATTATGTGCCTGAGGGTGGGTAGCCTTCCCAATGCAAAGATGTCCCAAGGGAGCAGAGAGTTGTTGATGGGCTGACGGTTGCACGTACTGTTTGCTGCACGGAGCAGCTCACTCTTCAGTTTAAACAGTGTAACTGTTCAGTTTAAACCTGGCTTTTCACTGCTACCTATTTCATGGCAGGCTTTTTCCTGTTGGCCCCAGGACCACTGTAGGGTGGATGCAGCCTTGAGCTTAGCTCTCTCTCTGCTCTCTGCCATAAGCACTGTCAAGCGTAAGAAGCTTGGCCACACCGACTTTCCTAGCTGAGTACTTGTGTGCTTATGTTGGTGTTCTCTGTAGGTGTTACTTGGTAGCCAGAAGCAGCAGTGGGAGACAGCATATCCCCCGTACTCTTCACTGCTAGCCAGCTAGCTAGATGAGCAATAACTCTTCTCGTGTGTTGGAGCATTCTAATTCCATGTATGGGCAGTGCAGGACCTGAACCCTGTACAGACTCTGGCCTCACTAGTGGCAACAGACCTTGACAAGGGCAGTCTAGCTCAAAGAACAAAATGGGGATCTGTGCGGAGCCCTGTTTTGGGAGAGCTCAATAAAAGCAGTCATGATTCATGTGATAAGGATGTATTGGGGCTTGCCTTTGACCAGCACCTGAGCACCCTAGCACAACTCGACGTATTTTTTTTCCTGTTCCTTCTTCACCAAAGACTCTTTAGGAGTTCTTCTAGAGCCAGCATTCTCAGGTTAAGTTCTGCTGTTGGACTTTTTTGTCACATCCTGACGGCTGTGTATTTTCTTATAGATAGCTGTATCTCCAGGCAGCAGTGTCAGTTCCCTGACTGCAGTCACAGCCATGAGTAGCACTTCTGTCACGGATGCCTCTATGCCCAGGTAAATAGCGCATGTATTAAATAATAGATCTGCAGCTGAACTGATACTGTCCTTCAGGGTGTCACAGACCTGTAGCATACCTTGTAGGAGGGGAGATTGTACCCAGAGTTAGAAACTGGCCTGAGTCCCAGCATCCCTATATGGGCGACTGTTTGCATCTCTAATGCAGCTTGGAGCATGCTGGTTGTCATCCAAGGGGCCAGCAATAGTGTTTAATTTGTGCCTCACAGGGTTTCTCTTATTGCATCTCAGTTTTGTTGCTTTACATGCTTCTCCCAAAGGGCTGTCATTGTTTACAGGTAAGAGAACACTGCAGCCACCAAGGACAGGGAGATAATTGGGACTGCTAGGAAAATCTTACTAGTGTTGCGGTGGGTTGGGCTGTGTAACAGGTGAAAACTTCACTTCTGGGGGCTCGGAAAAGGACAAAGACCTATCCCGTAGTGTCCTATCTCTCCCTAAACTCGGTGCAGTGTGCACTGAAGATATAACTGGTCTCTTCTCTCATTGACCCCTCGAATTCTAAGAGATTGCGATGCCCCCTTGTTTGTTTGTTTCCACCTGATATCTCTTTGGGCTGTATGAGGAGTAGGAGATGCAGGTGCTAGTTGACAGGGAGTAGCTGACCATGGTGGAAAGAGCAAGGGCTTGGAGAACACTAGTAAAGTTTGGGTTGGGCTCCTCCATTGACCTGTGGATCCCGTCTCATTACCTCGAGTGTTTGGTGCAGACCTGTATCATTAGGTTGGCCTGCTTGATTTGTTTGTGTCTCTCTTTTCTGCAGGGCGTCGGAAGACCTGACTGTGAGCCCCAAGATGCAGCTGGATACCAGCCTTACGCTGAGTAGCAGCAGCAGCAGTCTCCAGACTAGTCCTAGGAGCCATTCAGTTCTTATCCCAGGCCTCTCTGACAAACTAACACCAAAGGCACCTGTTCCAGTAAGGCTCTGAATGTTGCTCCCTTCCTTCTCCTCATGGGCCAAGGGACCTCTCTCTATGGGCCTATACAAGCTGAAATTAGACTTTTTTTTGGATATTAACAGGGACAGCATCTGCCCTTTGGAAAAAAAGCTGCTGGCACAGATCTGCAGCCAGGTTTCTACCCCTGTTAATGGAACTTGACCTCACGTAAAACAGCATGTCTCTGAAAACTAGAGACAGCTCTAGCTTGTGCTGTCACTATCACAATGGTTGGCCATGTTCAGCCTTTGTGTTAGGAGACAGTGCTACCTGGAAAGGTTTCTTCCTCCTATTGGTCTGACAGGTCTGAAACAATCATTTCCTATTCCTAAATTTTTCTTTCCAGGTGTGATGTAAAACAGATTATGACCAAAGCTTGAAATTGAAATAAGCTTTCAGTCCAGAAGATATTCAATGTTAAAACTTTTTCCCTCAAAGAGAAGGGATCCTGGAGCAGAGCAGGGAGGTAGAACTGGTGTTATGTTTTCTTCTGAAAGTGTGTTCAAACTAGCATTGGCTTAAGTGTGTTGCTAGCTCAGCTGAGAGCCCATTGCAAGTCTTGGGGCCCTTCTCTGTTGAATAAAGTGGGAGCACAGGGATCACGTGAGGAAAGGATACAGCTGGCTGTTTCCAGAGGTGGTTGATGTAAGGTACCAGGGGTTCTTGGGGTGTCTCCACATTACCCTAAAGGCTCTTGTTTGATTTTTGAATTCAGGTCACACCAGGAAACCCCTCCCTAGCACTGGAACTGCAGGAGGTGGAGCCCTTGGTGGTGCCCCAGGCTTCTCCCACCCGTGAGCGCTCGCCAGATGTCATTTCCTCTGCTTCCACAGCCATGTCCCAAGATATCCCAGAGATTGCTTCCGAAACCTTGCAACGTAGCTTTGCGGCAGCTCCATCAGGGCTACCTACGGAGGTGCTGGAGCCCAGTCATCATGCAGACAGTATGGCATCCGCTGCCTCAGCCTTGCATTTGCTGTCTCCAAGGAACCGGCACAATTCAGAGCACAGCCACCACTCTTTGGACATGCCTCCAGTGGAGGTGGACAGACTGAATGCTCCATCATTACTGGAGACTGCTTTAACTCAGGAAAATGCATCTTCTGACAGTGTTGTGAGTCAGCCATGGCCAGCAGCTCCTGACATAACCAGAGAAACCAGGAACAGCATGGCAGACAGGTAATCACTTGGGTTTGTCTTGCTTAGGGCAATTTCTTTGCACTTGCCAAATTGCTAGTTTGGTGAAAAGCTCTTACGTTGTGATTAAACCAGAGCAGTTCTCCTTCCCTCCTTTCCTTAAAGGGTCTGATGATTCAACCTTCCTGCATGCTTGGTCTCTGTATGCTGTGTCCTGAACTTCCTAGGCCAGCTCTAACAACCTTGCAGCATAAAGGATCTCTGTTAAGAAGGTGAAAAGTCTACTTTATTGGCCTTCTTGTTCACCTGGGAATGGAGACTTGAGAAGAGTTGGTTTTTTTGTTTTGGTTTGGTTTTTTTTGTACTCTGGAAATAAAAACAGTACAAGTCCAAGTCCCCAAGTGGGACAGGAAGTCCCCCAAGTCCCCAAGTGGGACAGGCCTTCTTTTTCACCTGGGAATGGAAACTTGAGAAGAGTTGGTTTTTTTGTTTTGGTTTGGTTTTTTTGTACTCTGGAAATATAAACAGTACAAGTCCAAGTCCCCAAGTGGGACAGGAACAGAGAGATGTGTCACTTCCAGAGTCTGTCTAGGTCAGGGCTGCATGCACCATGAGAGCCTGCAAACAGCTTCCTTTTCAACCAGGCTAGCAGGCTGAGAGTGTCAGTGTTGTCCCTCAAACTACTGAGGGCTGTTCCCTCCCATCAGAATTGCAAGAGAAAGGCCTCACCTTGTGCCTCCACACCTGAGGATGCTGCTTCAGGAAACAATCTCAATTCTGATGGCTCTGGGGAGGGCACTGAGGCAGTGTCTCTACGCAGTGTTTTTGCTTTTGCTCATAATTTGAAGTTGAGAAAATACTTTTATAGGAGTTTGCAACTCCCCTCAGTCCCACTCTGTCTTTGAATTCTTCAGGGCTTCTTATATCAGAATACCAGATCAGATATCTCTGGTATCTCTGGATCTGAGGTGTTTTATTTTTTTTTGTTGGGGTTTTTTTGTGTTTTTTTTTTTTTTTACATTCCAACTCAGTCAAGCCATCAGCCTATGTGAAAGTAACAAGTGCTCACTTCTGTCTAAAGATCTTCCTGCAAGCTGAATTCAGATAGACCTAGTTTACAGCTTAGAAGCACGTGCAATTTGCTTTCAAAATCTTTATGAAACTTGGACTGGATTCACTGTTAAAATTCTGTTCTGTCTGGTAGAGCTAACCTATCAAATTCACACATTTCCTCAGACACTTGAAAGAACTGAGAATCGCTGATGATTTTTGCCCCAGTGATCAGTATTACTTGAGGAAAAACAAACCCAAGATGATGCTATTCACTGAAATATGCTGTACTGTCCATTTGGAGTAGTGGCTTACCTGTCTTGCATGAATGTCTGTCAGGAGATTGTTCTTGGTTAGTGCCTGAAGCAGAGCTGAGCTACTTCTTCCTTCTTAAGGCCCCCAGAAAAATGCATGGAGAAGTTTGAGTGTTTAGTGCTTCTAAATAACACCTACTGCTTTTTGGATCTGTGCAGATAGGTGTGGGGTTTTTGTTTGTTTTAGACCTTCTGTCAGGATCTCCCATGAGAAGTGGAGTGAGCAAATATCCAAGCTGAAATAGACTTTCATGATGGTATTTTCTTTTTTTTTTTTTCCCTCCCATAGCCCAAGGGACGAGGTTGAAGAAAAGCACAAGAGCTCTTCGTATCATCGACACAGCTACCACCTGCTGCAGCATGACAGCCAGGATGCTAGTGCAGAACAAAGGTACCAGAGTGCTCAGCCCCCTCTCTCGCCCTGCATGGACTCAGTTCAGGCTGCATTCGTGCTTCTGTCCCCAGCAAGCCTTCACGTGTGGGGTGAATGTCTTTGCTTTGTCTCCTGACTTAATCTGTGTATGCAGTCCAGCTTCTGTAATGTTCTGATGGCTTCAGCTGATCACGAGATTGGCCTCTGGGCATTGTTGAATTTACTCTCTGTGCTGCCCCTAAGAGCAGGGACCAAGCTTAGTTTAATTACCAGTGAAAACCTATTGTGGAACCAGTTTCCAAATACTGTGCCTTAGATGAGGTAGCAAGGGTATCTCAGGAATTAGTTTCTTGCTTTTGACATCTTTGCTCCCTCACAAGCCACCCTAAAGCTCTGTGGGCACATTCTGTGTGCCTGGCAAGCTCAGCCCTGTTTTGACAGCTGAGGGTTTGTTCATAATCCACACTTCAATTCAGACTGAAACATGCAGCCTGTATTGGATGGCTGGTCAGCAGCTGAAGGACTCCAAGGTACTGAGGATCACGTGCTTCCTAGGCTCAAGCTGATTCTCCTCTGTTCCCACAATACTTGCTGCGTTAAGTGCTTTCTGCCTGTAAAGCTGTAAGGATATGCTGTGCTTTGGTTCCCTGCTGGGTCAGTGTCACATCCTAGGGCTCACGTGCTGGTGTGTGTATGCAGCAAGAACGGGCATCATTCCGCCACACTGCCTGACCACAGTGGTCCCTAATGCAGAGACCCTTCAAGTCTTGTTATGCAGCACTCGAGCTCAGCCTGAGCAGACCTGGATCAAAACGGAGCAGCACATGCTGAGCTCTGTAGAGGTCTCTGTGTTAAAGATCAAGGTGGCAGGTGTCCTTAGCCGAGTGACTCTGGCCACGTGTGGATGAAGAGCAGAGTGTGAATCCCCTCCCCTTAGTGAAGGCTAACACTGTCCAGTATTGCAAGTGATGTCCTCTCCCCTGCTGTTCCTTCATAGTGACCATGATGATGAAGTTGCAAGCTTGGCTTCTACATCAGGTGGATTTGGTGCCAAAGCGTCTACGCAGAGGCTGCCTGTGAAGGACTGGAAAGCCAAGGCATCCCCTCGGGCTTCCCCAAAGCTAAAGCGGAAGGGCAAGAAAGATGACGGGTACGCTGGGCTTGCCAGAATACAGATGGCTGTGGGACCAGCTATGCAGGGCCACAACCTGATGTAGCCATTAGCAGCGAGACTAGGGTCTGAGGCTGGGCAGCGGCCAAGTGCTCCCCGTTTTGCAAATGGTGGTAACCCCTCAGTGTTGCTGGTTCCTCAGACACTGACTGCCACTCGGGGGTGTGGGAGTAGGTTCTGCACTGCCTTTCCAGCTGGGACTCAAAATCCAAAATACAGCCTGGGCTTCAGAAAATGTGTGGAAGGTAAATTGCACATTGTGGGGGGACACTGGATCCATTTGCCGGTTTCAGTGAAGGGTTCATTGGAACTGTGATGCTGTGAGTATAGCTTAACAAGGCCTCCATTTGTGATTGGCTTCTGAACACTGGCACAGTGCCCTTGTTCAACAATATCTATCATTTGTTACCTGCTTGCTGCTTTTGTGTGTTTCTAAACGTGCCCAGATGAATGTCTTGTAAGTGCAAATTGATGGCTGGAAAGCTCTGCCCATAGCAAATTAGACCAACCTGTCTGCATTAATGTGAGGAGAGCAGCACAGCTTCTGTACGGGGCTCTCTCCTTGTGTTCCCATAGCTCCATGATTTGGATCTCTGGCTGTGCAGATTACAACAAAGATGGGCTATGGTGTTAAGTTTCTGGCTGTGGTCCTGTACTGTGACACCCAGAAGGTCTTAGCCTCTGAAATGACTTTCATTTTTCCTGCCTCAGTCCTTTTAAAGTTGCTGAATGGATGCTGTCTGGGAACAACAAATGTTTGCTTTCCTTATAGTAGCGTTTGAATATTCATAGATCTGTGACTTTGATGGAGCCATGCAATATTAGTGGATCAGTTCAGTGTTTTTCTTTATTCTGCTGTATATGCTGGAGTGCATCACTAGTTTCTTCACCCTGAGAGCTGGAATCACTCTAGATGATTTGAAGCTCATTAATTCTATATTTAACAAATGGGTGCTTGTTTTTTCTGTGTAAAATATCAGGAGACCTTCAAAAGCCGTTTGGCAAAGATTTCCCTGGATTTGAATTTGGACAAAACTGAAAAATCAGTGTGCATTGTTCCTTGTAACAGTCCTCATTAAGACTTGGTTGAAATCTCCTCCCTGTCAAGGGACCAGTCTGTAAGGAACTTCAGGGCCTGTGGGTAGTACAGACGATGGAGTCACAGTGCTGTAAGGACTGGGATTTCATCAGCTTCCCATCACTCTTCCTGTTACACTAGGCAAAACAGAAGTATGAGCTTCTGCTAGGCAGAAGAGAAGTATAAGCTGGAGTGTAAAATCTAAAGCAACCGTAAAATGTGTGATCTGTTTTGGCAGAAGACTTGGATACTAAGAGTGGTTAATTGACATCATTGGATTACTACTTTTTCTCTTTATTTCCAGGGATGTGAACCAGTCGCCAAGATCATCTAACAACCAGGTGAGCTGCTCTGCGTGTCCCAAGGGCATGATGCTTCAACTCTATTTACTGTCTTACTAAAGACCTTAGAGAAAGTTCATCCCAGTTCCTTGAAGTACCATGGGCCCCTGCTGTGCCAAGCAGGCTGAGGTGGGGCTGCACTTGAGCTTGACACGCTCCGTTCTCTGACTTGTGCAGCAGAGAAGGAACTGCTCAGTGCTATCTAGACTGATGGCTTCTTTCTCACCTTTGCATATCGATATGCATTCCTGTGTTCTCACAAGCTCTGTATCATCTAAGATGCTACCACTCATTTCTTCTTCCCTGCTGAGATGACCCGCGTGCGTTGGCAGCAGGATAAGCTGTTCCCACCAACATAAGGGTCACAGTGGGACTGGCCTGTTGGAATTTCTCATCCCTGTTGGTAGTACCTTCATATCTGGCAGAAAAAGCCCTTGGCCGAGTTGCATACACTTCTTAAACTGCCCTTGATGTGTGTGCCACCTTTAGATATTTTGAACAGGTGAAGAGAAAATGAACTATAGATGTATACTTCTCCAGTTGTTTGGTTATTCATAAATAAATGAAAGAGCTGAAAAAGTGGTCTGGGAAACCTCCTTCTTACTCTACTGATTGCACAGCTCTTTCATAAGTGTTTGAGGTCATTATTTACATTCGGAGGCCTAAACACTCAGTACCTGGCCAAAAGCGAGTAGGATCTGTTTTCTTCTGTTAGATGCTAGAGCTTTGAGGGGGGGGGTCTTGAATCTAAACAGTTGATATTCTAAGCAACCATTTATGAATTTCATGCAGGAACTTCAGGGACCTTGCTTTATCAGTTTATTTCTTGGGGCAAAAGCCTTAGAAATAGGCATTAAGCTGGGCCCATTTTCTGCTTTGTGTGTCACGCTTCAGTCCTAGGCACAGGGGTTGACTTAATACCTAGCAGAAAACTTGACTGACCTCCAATCCTGTTAGAAATTAATGCTTGTCCTCTCCATGCATAGGTGACACCAGAATTTCAGGATGAGCTGATGTGCATATTGAGGAGCCAACAGCGGGAGCTCTCCGAGCTGCGTCAGAACCAGATGGAGCTGCTGCAGAGACTCACGGATCATCTTGATGCCATTCAGAGCTCCCTTATGGGCCACGTGGAGAGGGTGATTGACTCGCAGCAGGAGCAGGAGCGTATCCTTGTTTGCAAATGTTGTGTGGCAGTTAAGGAGTGGAAGGCTGCGAGGCAGACTACAGACATGAGGAAGGCTAAGAAAGTTCAAGGATCTTGGTAGCCTGGGCCGTAGGTCCAGTAAAATTGCCTGGCTGCAATATAACTATTTCAGTTCCTCTCGGTGCTTCTCTAAGGGCAAGAAACTCAGAAATATAACGGAGAAGAACTGATACTTCCTTCATGCCGCTAAATCTTCTGGTTACCCATTAAGACCGTAAGTGCTGCAGCACTGGAGTAGACTAGAGGTGCACCTAATACATTATCCTACATTAGACAGTGACCAGTTGCACAAGAGTAATTATGGGATGATCCTTTCCTTCCTTTCCTCCTTAAGGCAAGTCAGTACTTGCACCAGAAATAGCATCTGGCTGCCATACTGCATAGCTGAATACAGAATTATCTTGTCTGTACGCATCTATACATCTAGTGGTCCACAGGTCCCTTATGTGTTGTCTGAAAAGTACTTTCTTTTGGTGTTTTCAAACCTGGTATCCAATTATTTTTATTGTATTGTGAGTAGTCAGTTCCTGTACATCTTTTGCTGCACTGAATTTTGTCATGTTCCCCAAGTTGTGCAGCTCTAGCCTGTTTCATGTCTGAAACCACTCTTAACTTCTATGACATAACAATGATTTCTGTTTTCTCTATTAATTAGTCTTGGATTTTCCTTTTTAACCATCAGGCTGATATTTTCATAGATAATTCAGATAGAGTTCTACTGAAGTTCGAAGTCTAGAGCTATATTGTAATATTAGAAGAATTTTTCACTATCTGCACAACTTCATATCTGCACTGAATTTTGTCAGCAGCTGAATAATCTTTTCACTGCTTTTGTTGTGGGTTTTTTTTTGTTTTGGTTGTTTTTTGTTGTTGTTCTGGTTTTTGTTTTGGTTTGGTTTTTTAAGATGCACATGCATCTCTGTGTTTTGGCTCCTTCAGAGAGCTTGGTTGCTTCATGAGGTAGAACTAGCACTAGCTTTTATCATAGAATCACAGAATGCTTTGGGATGGAAGGGACCTTTAAAGGTCATCTAGTCTATCCCCCCTGCAATGGGCAGGGACATCTACAACTAGATCAGGTTGCTCAGAGCCCCATCCAGCCTGTCCTTGAATGTTTCCAAGGATGGGCAGTCTACCACCTCTCTGGGCAAGGCAATGCGTTCCAGTGTTTCACTACCCTCATTCTAAAAAATGTCTTCCTTATATCTAGTCTGAATCTAACCTCTTTTAGTTTAAAACCATTACTCCTTGTCCTATCGCTACTGGCCCTGCTAAAAAGTCTGTCCCCATCTTTCTTATAAGCCCCCTCCTCCTCTGGACCTGCTCCAACAGGTCCATGTCCTTCCTGTGCTGAGGACTCCAGAGCTGGACGCAGTACTCCAGGTGGGGTCTCACCAGAGCAGAGGGGCAGAATCACCTCTCTCGACCTGCTTCCTGCTTTATTAAGCCTGGGTTTGCTCCCGTGCGCTGTATCACTTATGTCCACCAATTCCATCCTGTAGAAATGCTATTAGCAATTTGCTTTTTATGGATATTGGGCTTCTTGGTTTCTGTAGTGGTTTTGGCTGCGATAGAGTTAATTTTCTTCATAGCAGCTGGTATGGTGGTATGTTTTGGATTTGTGACCAAAACAATGTTGATAACACACTGATGCTTTGGCTGTTGCTAAACCCTGTCAAGGCCTTCTCTGTATTTCATGCTGCTCCACCAGCAAGCAGGCTGGGGGTGGGCAAGAAGTAGGGAGGAGACACAGCTGGGACAGCTGACCTCAGCTGACCAAAGGGATGTGCCATACAGTATGATGATGTGCTCAGCAGTAAAAGCTGGGGTAAAGGAGAAGGAAGAGGGGATGTTCAGAGTGATGGCGTTTGTCTTTCCAAGTCACCGTTATGCATGATGGAGCCCTGCTTTCCTGGAGATGGCTGGACACCTGCCCACCAATGGGAAGTAGTAAATGAATTCCTTATTTTGCTTGGCTCGCATGTGCAACTTTTGCTTTACCTATTACACTGTCTTCATCTCAACTTGTGAGCTTTCTCACTTTTACCCTTCCTGTTCTCTCCCCTGTCCCGCTGCAGAGGAGTGAGTGAGCGGCTGTGTGGGGCTGAGCTGCCTACGGGGGCAGCTAAGTTAACTCACAATATGTAGGGAACACTACTGTTGAGCTTCTTTTAGCTGTTTGGCTTTTCTACCATGCCTTCCAGAGCTCTGCTCTTCCCCTGATCATTTGTTTAAGAGCACGCTGTTGTTCACAGGAACACATCAGCAATGTTATTAGACCCCTCTTTCACCAGAGCTGCAAATTTTCTCTCATTGAGCCTCTGGAGGTGAGGCTAGCGTCCATTTTTGTGGACAGGAGTATTGAGGGTAGAGAGGAAATCTGTTGTTTGGCCTTCTTAACATTCATTCTCATTAGAGAGAAGACTAGACCGAGCACTGACAGAAGGACAGCAGCGCAATGGGCAGCTCCAGGAGCATCTTTCTCAGCAGCTCACTCAGTCCCTTTCCACTGCTGTGTGTAACCGTCTGGAGAGGACCATTCGTGAGGAGATGAAGAAGACCATACCCCAGTGTGAGTGTTGCTGCCTGTGTTTTGAAGGTGGATCCCTACAGTTAACCCCATAGGGATTGAAAGCATGCTGCGTAAAAGTGTTGGCTCTATATGAAGTAGGAGTTAGGTTACATGAAGACTAGTCATTGCATTTTAAGCTGTTGTGGGCCACACTGTAATCTGAGAAGAGGATTTGTGGTTTGGAAGGAGTATGAGGCTCCCAGAGGGAATGCCTTTCCAGAGAGCGTGGTCTGACCTTCCATTATAATCCATAAAGCTTCTGAAGTCTGTTCAGTGGAGGAAGGCAAAAGAGGCTAATGAGTTTGGAAATGTTGAGACTTGACTGGAGCAAACGTAAACTTGTCTTTGGCCTTCCTTGATGCACTGGTACCATCCATGTAAGGAAATGTTCAAAGAAATGCTAGTGGGAAAGCCTTCTGCAGTCATTAGTGTCCACCATTCTGCTTGAAGCAGGGCTACCCACTATCCTAGATCAGGTCAGCTGTGACTTTGTTGGGGCAAGTCTTGAAAACCTTCAAGATTGGAGATTCCACAGCTGCTCTGGTGACTTCCAGAGCTGTACCACCTTCCTAGCAAAAAGTTTCTCCTAATGTCCAACCTTAGCTTCCCAAGCCAGAGCTTGTGACCATTGCCCGTCGCTGTGTCATATCCAAGAAGAGTTTGACTCCATTTTATTTTTTTTGGTTTTGAAGTGTGACTCTAGGCTTAAAGCTGCAACTTTGAAACGTTTGTGTTGTGCCTAGGCATTTCCAAGAGCATGGACCCTATTGCTGGTCAGTTAAGTAATACTATTGCTGCCAAGCTCACTGCTGTTGAGGGAACACTGAAAGAGAGTATCACCAAGCTAGTGAAATCAAAGGTAAGGACAACCAGACTGTACCTGCCTGGGTAGTGTTTCCTCATACCTCTCTCCCTCACTTATATCTCCAGTTTAGTCAGTTTAGTTGCAGGTGTTCAAAGCTCTTTCCTGGTCTCATCCGGAGTGTGAGCTTGTTGTGTACTCCTCTGCCCGCTTTGCCTCATTAGCCGTTTCTTTCATTTACCAAGTTGTTCATTATCTACTAGAGCAGAGACTTCTCACTATAGCAGTGTTTTTAGGGCCATCTCAGTCAGCCAAGTGGTGAAAGTTTTACTGGCTCTTCTGCTTTCCACAATGATGTTCTCCATTTCTACATTATTTAGGGAGCAGAAGCTTGTTACTTACCTTGACAGGGAATGGTGGGTTGTGGGAGGGAAGCAGGGGAAGGGGAAAGGAGCCATGCTTGACTGTGCCACCTTCCCTTGCTCTACAGCTTAACTACAGGGAAATCATGATGTTCTCGGGCGGCCCCTCAGCAAGCAGGTACTCTGCCTGCTGGAGTCATGGTGCAGCCTGGTCAGTGGAAAGAGCTGAGGGAATACACACTTCTGACACTGGGCTGTCCTCATCTGGTGTGGGTGTGTTGCAGGGACCTACAGTGTTTGTTCACATATTTAGGCTGCAGCAGGCTGTTGTTAATTTTCTGGAATCTCTTCTGTGTGTGCTTGTAAGAACCTTACAGATACCGTTGTGAGGGCAACGGCTGATACCCTGCAGGGGCCGATCCAGTCAGCTTACAGGGAAGCGTTTCAGAGTGTCGTGTTGCCAGCTTTTGAGAAGAGCTGCCAGTCCATGTTCCAGCAAATCAATGACACCTTCAAGCAGGGCACACAGGAATGTGAGTAGGTTTTCTTCTCTGAGTTTTCTCTGCACACCTATTTGCATTAGCAACTGACAACAAATTGGCCTTTTCTTATATCTTTGCCTTTCAGAGTTTCACTGGTGACTGTTTAACCTCTTAGTCCATCTGCATGCTCCATTTCACTCTTGGGAAATAGGAACAGAAGTGAGGAGGTTTTTGTGGGTGGTGCTATAAGAACAGAGATTCACCTCTGGTCTTTGTAGCCCATGCAGTGAAACACTTGGCCTCATTCTGTGAATCTGTGACTTCATCCCTTGAATAGAAAAGCCCAGCTGTAGCATTACCCCATCCTGATATCAGGAAGATGATGTATGGAGAGGGTAGCAGTCTTGCAGCTAGGCCCTCATCTCAGAGGGGTAATGGAATTGGGGAACGTTTAGAGAAGGGTACAGGGATGATCAGAAGTTAAATAGTGGCTGAACAGTGTGGATAGACATGGTCAGGCTGGAAAAAAGAAAACTATACTCTTAAGTAAGGAAAATTGTACACTGATGCACTGGAGAAGACCTTTAGTCTTCTCAGGCTTGGGATCCAGTTCCTTGGCCTTCTGGGAGGCCAGGCAGGTATTGCTCTGCAGAGCTTGTTTCTGAGGGGGCCTGAAGTTGGCTAGTGCTGGCACAGCGACTTCTGTTGTCTATAGATCTGCAGTGTCTCCAGCCGCTGTTTATTTTGCACCCTTCCTTTTCTTCACAAGTCTCCCAAAAGTACATAGAGCTTATATTCTGATCCTTTTTGATCAGACCAGTTCATAAAATATTTTAAAATACAGCTTTTTGATCTCTGCAGATGTGATTTTTTTTTTTTGTCAGAAATGTTCCTCCTCTTTCGTCATTGGCATTGAACTCCATTACTAATGCAGATCACAGCTCACACTGTGTATGAAGTAAAATACACTCACTCCCACCTTTATCTTGCCCTGATTAAACAGTGCCTGTAAAGGTCTGTCACAAGAGAACTCGTGGCTTTGTTGCTGTGTCATGTAATCCTGTGTGATGGGGAGGCTGGAAGCAGGGTTTCTAGGTTAGTGTAATGCAGCCCAAAACAAGGCTTGTGCGTCTCCTCTCCTGCGCTCATACGCTGGCTCAGTAATTGTTTCTGCTGGAGAACGTGCAGAGCCTGGCAGCTGGATTTCTGCCCTGACCATCTCCACAAGTAGTGAAGGCACAAACGTCTTCCTCTCTCGTTGTTTCAGATATCCAGCAGCTTGAGACTCACTTGAAGAACAAGAAGGTACGAGAACAGGAGGCCCGGGACCCGCTGCTGAATCAGCTTCGACAGCTCATCAGCACCTTTCAGAGCACCACTGAGCAGCTGGCTTCTACTGTTGCAGCCAGTGTCCATGCTGAGGTGCAGCATCAGCTGCATATTATCGTGAGCAAGTAAGTTGGCAGCTGGGCTTGTGGAGAGAGATCTCAGTGAGGTATACATGTGCGTAACAAAAACCTCTCCCTGCTAGTTGTGGAACAAGCCTTTTGCTGCTGTAGGGCTGCTTGTTGGTTCTGTGCACAGTATGACAAAGCATGTGGGCTGGTGTAACTGTTGCCTTGTAGGGCGCAAAACGAAGACCACAGAAGGTTTCTAACGAGGAGATTTATCACTGCTGCGTGTGAAGCTCAGGGCACTTTTCACGGCATCCCATGTGCATATTGGAGGGACAGAAGGACCTAAGGCAGCCCAAAAGCACACTCAATTCTGACTAGCCTTCCTGTTCTGAAATGTTCTTCTGATCCTGTGAGAGCTTTTCTTCTTTACTCTGTGCCCTCAGGCATACCAACAGTTTCTGCAGGCTACTCTGTCCTCCCAGCTGCTCTGCAACAATTTGTACTTGGCCATCTTGGTTTCAAGATGTGATCCTGGCGGTGCCTTCAGCGCGTTCGCACCATGAAGCTTGTGGCAGGGTGGCAGCCCTTACAAGGGGCCGGGGGGGACTTGCGGGGAGAAAACACCGTGAAGCTCAGGGCACTTTTCACGGCATCCCATGTGCATATTGGAGGGACAGAAGGACCTAAGGCAGCCCAAAAGCACACTCAATTCTGACTAGCCTTCCTGTTCTGAAATGTTCTTCTGATCCTGTGAGAGCTTTTCTTCTTTACTCTGTGCCCTCAGGCATACCAACAGTTTCTGCAGGCTACTCTGTCCTCCCAGCTGCTCTGCAACAATTTGTACTTGGCCATCTTGGTTTCAAGATGTGATCCTGGCGGTGCCTTCAGCGCGTTCGCACCATGAAGCTTGTGGCAGGTTGCCAGCCATTAAGAGTGGCCGGTGGTCACTTGCGGGTCAGAACGCCCCTGTCTATTTTAAGCCACTAGAACATATGTCAGAGTGCCTTGGGGTCTTTGATGCAGACCACACTTGCCAGGAGGACTACCAGACTAAATTCTGGTCTTGTTGCCTGGGCTGTAGTTGCTGCCACGGAAGTCCTGCTATTCTACCTGTGATAGAGCAGGTTTGATGCTTTGTACCCTTTGTAAGAGGGGAGGATCCAGCCCTTGTTGGGGAAAAGGTGTAACACACAGCAGTGGAGCCTACGCTGTGAACTGGTCTTGTGTAGAGAAGTCAGAGGCTCAGTGGAAGTGTGTTCTCATTCTAAAGGTGTCAACTGCAGGATAGGAAACGGCATCTAACAGATCTGATACAGAAAGCTGGGACCATTCAGGGATGAACCTAGAGCTTAGTAGCCTTGCTTGTAAGCCAAATGCATTAAAGATTTAAAACCCTGTGTAATGAGAGACTTAGTTCCCTGAAACATCACTTTCCTGCACAGAATCCCAGCATCTTCCTTGATGTTGGCCACAGAGCTACCTTGTGCGGTGTGCTGCCGATACCTGTGCCTCAGAGCAATTTGCATTAACCCTTTGGTAGCCACGCTATAATAAGCAAGCAAGCCAGCCTATGCTTTCTCACTGGTACAAGCTTTGTGCAATGTTGTCCCTCAGCTCTTCATTTTCAGAGATGCCTGTTTGTTGGGTTTTTTTTGTTTGTTTTTTTAGCATGCAGGAGTCTATTTTGGCCCAGGTGCAGAGAGTCATCAAAGGAGAAGTGAGCCTGGCTATGAAGGAGCAGCAAGCAGCTGTCACCTCGAGCATCGTCCAGGCAATGCGCTCGGCAGCCGGGACTCCGATCCCCTCTGCTCACTTGGATTTCCAGTCTCAGCAAACTCACATCCTTCAGCTGCTCCAGCAGGGACACCTCAACCAAGCTTTCCAGCAGGTACCTAGGCTTCCTAGTAGTGGGCATCGCTGCTTGTTGGGGGATAGAGTGGGGGGGAAAAAGGGCTCCTTGAGCTGGGGACATAATCCCACAACTCATACAGGAGTTGCCTGAAAAGACCTGCGGCAGCAGACTGCTCAAGGGGTGCAGTTGAACTCGCATGCAGGTTGAGCCAGAGTCATACCAATTCCATGATTTGATCGCAGTTGAGTTCTTTCTTCCCTGCCCATGCCCTGTCAGGACAGTGTCAGCGCTCCAGTAAGCCAGAGCGTTTTGCCATCAGCAGTGGCACATGGTGCACCCCTGAAGAGCAACAGCTTCATAAGCCTCTCCTGGCAGATCTACCAGCTGGGGCCTGACCTTGCCTTTGCCTTTGAATATGTAGGCAGATCCATCTGAGCTGCTGCAGATGAACTCCCGTGGGAATAATAGCAATGCTGTGCCGCTGGGCGGGCAGGGGATGCAAACATCCCTGCCCTGTGCTGCTAACTGTAACTTGCTCCCCTCTGGCTGGCTGTGGTCTGGTCAGCTTAGAACAGACACAGGTGTCCTCTGAGCATAGACTGAGAGCCTAAACACGGTCCTGCTTGCATGTACAGCAGGGTTTGCAGAGACTTATTCCAGAGGAGGCTGGCGAGCCATTCAACTGCCCCAAGGCAGTGGGCTGCCTTGTGCCTCTGTCCTGCGTCCCTCACCTGCCTGTTGTTTCCTGTGCATTTCTAGCTGTGTCTTCCTTGCAGGCTCTAACAGCAGCTGATCTCAACCTGGTCCTGTATGTCTGTGAGACTGTGGATACTCAGCAAGTATTCGGACAGCATCCGTGCCCGCTGTCCCAGCCTGTGCTGCTCTCTCTCATTCAGCAGCTCTCCTCGGATTTGGGTACTCGTACGGAACTGAAGTTGAAGTGAGTATGATCAGAGCACTGGGTCTGAACCTGTACAGACCTGTTCCTCGCTCTGGCTTTAAATTCACTGCCTGGAAGTGGAAGGTGGTGCTTCGATGAAGGTTGGAGCTTCTGTAGCCTGTTACTGGTGTATGAACAACTAGCAATGACTTGGAAAAAGATGTAGGCGTTGCCATGGAAAGCTTTGCTGCCCAGAGATAGTAGGAGAAGGGGTACCCAGCTGTAGGTGCTGTTACCTCCTGGATTGTAGTCTGTAAATATTATATGCAGTCCTGTGCAGCGATCTCCTTTAACCAAGGAACAATTCCCCTGTGGAGGTAAAAGGAGGGATAGTGCCGTGTTTCCTGGATAGCTTAATATCCAGAGCAACTTTTCTTTGTCCTCAAATCTTAACCTGTCGCTGGACTTTGTGTCGGCAGTTTCTTGTCGTGACTGCTAGACAGGCTCAGTGGGAGGTGGCAGCAGGAGCTACTGGAAGTAATGTCTGTTAGATGTTCTAAGCAAAGCTCGTGTGACAAAACAGTGACTGTGCTGATACTTGCCATGAACACTTTTAGTGAGTGAGTCAAAACCCTGTTATCTCTCCTAAAAATCTAACTCGTTAAGGTACCTGCAGGTTTTAACCATGGCTTGTATGGAAAAATGGCTTAAATGGAGTTTTTAACTCAAGTTAGCAATAGGGATTAAGCAAGCTAGAAAAACTGAAAAAGAGCTTTAAGTTATAGATGAGCTGGTAATCAGTTAAAGTTGCTGCTGTGAAGTTCAAGCTGGTCTGTTAGTGAAAACCTTTTGTGGTGACCACATTGCCTTACTGTCAGGCTGTAGCTTGGAAGTTTATGGCTCATCTGAACTTCAGAATGGTAAAATTCTTGCTCTTCCTTCACCCCTTCCTAGATAGACATATTGGAAGACGACCTTAAATATATCGCTACATGAAATAAGCCTCACTGCTGAGGATTTTTAGTGTCTAATAAGTGACTAATTCTGTTTATGCTAAAAAGGCATCAAAGAAAATATCTACAGAGCTGTGACCAGGCATGGCCTGTGGCCAAGTGCCACCTCCAGCTCTGCGGGGAGTTCTAGCTTGCTGTTGTGCTTGCTTGGTTCAGGCAGCCAGGTTGTGTTGCATGTGCTGCAGGCTGGAAAATGTATAGGCTGCCCTTACATGTTGAAGAAGGGATAGGTGGACTCTGCTGTGAGTCAGTAACGTTTATTTTCTGATGGCTGAACATACTGCACTGACTTTGGGTGGGTGAGGGAGCAGAATTGTACATCTTCAGTACGAAAATGAACTGAATCAGACTGGGATTGTGTATTGGGTTTGGTTCTAACCCTGGTCTCTCTCCTTCAGTTACTTGGAGGAAGCGGTGATGCACCTGGACCACAGCGACCCCATCACCCGAGACCACATGGGGTCAGTCATGAACCAGGTGCGGCAGAAGCTCTTCCAGTTCCTCCAGGTGGAACCCCACAACACACTGAGCAAGCCTGCCCGTCGCCTCATGATCATGCTCCAGGGCCTGGTCACCCCCGGCATGACCTAGGAGGACCTGGCTGTCTTGTGGGCTGCTCCGTGGAAGTCCACCCAGCAGATCCAGTAGTTACTAACCACGTATGGCTTGTGTTAAGAGCTCTTGCCAGGAAATCTATCAACATGTGTGTGATGTCTCTAAGGCAAACGCCATCTGTGTATAGTCCCAAATAGTCACTGAACGCTCACTTGGCTTATTTTCCTAAATAGCCTCTTTTTGAGAGAATTAAGTCTCTTCTTCACCTGCCCATCCGTCCCTGAGGCCTGGTTGGCAGTCCAAGTTGCATTCAGCAGAAGCTGGTGGATTTCTTACCCCTTTAGTTTGGCATCTGCTGCCATGAGCAGAGGAGAAGGGAGGTGCACGCTGAGCCCCGAGCAAGGGGGCTGCCAGGGACACGTGCTCCTTGGTGACCAGAAACTAGCACCCATATCTTAGTCAAGGACTCAAACTCCTCCTCCCTGGTGGGTTGAGTAGCTGGGAGGACATCAGCTGAGCAGGAGGGGGGTTTCATTGACTCCAGATCCCCACTGCCCCCGCAGTGGGGCGCCGAGCCCCATCCTGCGCGGTGCAGGCAGGTTTGGGCAGGGGGTCTGCGCATGCGTGCCTCTGGAGCGACCTGAGGAGGTGCTCTGGGTCGGGATGGTCAGGCAGCAGCAAGCTGCGAGAGCCCCTGCAGGCCATCGCTTCTGTTGTGCATCAGAGCATGTCCATGGTTCAGACGTTAGTTTTGATTTTACACCAGGGTTTTTCTTTTTATCTTAAATTTTGAATTTTTTTTTTTTTTTGAAATAACATTAAGAACAATTCAATAAACAACTTTTTGAGAAAAAAAAGCGGGGAGCTGCTGTTGTGCCACAGAGGGAAGACTGCACGGCCTTTGGAAGCAGTTCTGGAGCACGTGAAAGGTCTCGGAGGAGCCCGAGGCAAGGGGCCGGGATGCCCTTTCTTTTCCTGGATCTTCCCGCTTCCCTGGTTGAGCGTTGGTGTGCGAGTCCCGGCGGGCGCAGGCGTCTTTCCCTCCGGGAGAGGCAGGAGACTTTGTCAGGGATGGCGGCGGTGCTCTGCCCGCCCCAGCAAGGAGGCCGAATTCCCCTTTCCGCAGCCAAAGCGGCCGCCCCGCAGGGTCGGG